GAATCTCCCTACATCTGGGTCTGGTGGCCCATTTTCTTGGAAAGAGGAGCATTTTCTAAAGGAAGCTATTGTGGATGCGATTCTCAAAAATGCACCAGTGGTGAAACTTAAGTTTCTCGATGGTCTAACAGAAGAGCTTGAGGCTAACTTAAACAGAAAAAAGTCTGAAGACAATATAGAAGCGTTTTCTGATCAGTTAGAATTTGATGACGATCAATGGGGCAAATGGGGTGATGAAGAAGAAGATGATGATGATAAGAATGATAAAAAACAGGCATATAGTGACATGCAGCTGAAGCTGGAGTTGCTTGACAGGGTGGACAACCTTTTCAAATCTCTTCACAAGTTATCTACTGTTAAGAGGAATTTATCACTGCGAGAAGGGACATTTTCTTCGGAAAGTAACTTCACTGGTGATTCTGACTCAAATAAGAGTTTAATCTATAAGCTTCTGATCAGAGTGTTGGGAAAGTATGATGTACCCGGCTTGGAGTACCATTCCACTACCGTGGGGCGACTTTTTAAAAGTGGATTTGGAAGATTTGGTCTTGGACAGGCAAGTTCCGATCTCGTTAATTCTAAATGAATATACTTTATGAATCATGATACATAATCTGAACTTTATTTTTGGATTCTGCAGACAAAACCAAGTCTGGCCGACCAAAATATCATTATGGTTTTTGTAGTTGGGGGCATCAACGCGGCTGAGGTATGGATTTTATGAGCTTTTCCAACTTTTGTACCTCCAGTCATCTCTCTCGCTCTCTCTCTCTTAACGAAACAATTAAGTCCATGTCCTGAAAAAGTTTCAGGTTCGGTGACTAGCTCACCATCACCATTATCCTCTCTTATCTTTCTTAAACGCGTTTTTTAATTGAACATTTGGTATCATAGATTACTTGCATGTTAACAGCTTCATGTTTTTCCTGTAGAATTATAGCTCTCGAGTAATTGAAAGCTGAAAAATTAACCATTTTTTTCCCTGTCTGTTGAGAAGGTGCGTGAAGTTCAAGAGGCATTATCTGAGAGTGGAAGACCTGATGTAGAATTGATTCTTGGTGGAACAACATTCTTAACTCCTGACGACATGCTCACCTTACTAATGGGGGACTCTAGCTACATGTGATTCTGTAGAACATTTCTGTAACTTATTAAAGATAGATACAAAGAAAATAAGAGGTAAAACTCATTTTTTGCGCCATGTGCTCTTACCAATTTATCAAAAAGCCCCTTCATTATTACTTTGGTCAATTGAGCTTCTATATTTTCTATTTCAATCAAGTGAACATAGCATACCATAAAAAAAAAACACTCAAAGAAGAGAGTGAGTGATGATGATATTAACGAGAATAAAAGGGTTAGTTAATGATAATGACTCGAGCAGTGAAGAAGACTACTGACATAAATTTTCAATTTTAATAAATTGTATTTAATTGGCTGAAATGAAAAATACGAGGGCTCATTTGATCAAATTGATACTAAAATGGCTCGTTTGATGAAATGGTGAAAATACAGGGTGCTAATAACAAGTTTATCTGAAAATAATGTGTTATGTCTTGCAATTTCCATCTTCACTCAGCACATATGAGTTTAGTTTCATCCTGTCATTGTCAGAAGACTTTTCAAAATTGAGTTTTTCTTTTTTTTAAAAAAATAATGCAATTTGGTAAAAGTTTTGATCAAATGAAATATGTTATAAATTATTTGGGAAAATATTCAGCATAATCATGGTTTTGAATATTAATTTTGTAACAATCTGTATTAGAAATGACAGTTGTTTACTCAAAAATTAAATATATATGTCTTATGAAAATTAATTGACATGTATAAAATTAACACAAAAATTCACGAAGATCTAAGGTTAAGGTATGGTATTCAAGATTCGGTGATCAAGGAATAAAATATGAGATAAGTCGACGTGATATGAAAGAAAAGAAAAAAAAGAATCATCAAAGACATATTAAAGTTCTGCTTTTTTATAAACTTGATATTATTATAAAATTTAAACAAGATGATTTTAACCACATAAAAAAAAACATCTAATGAGATTGTAATAAGTTAGTTTTAGATTAATTTTAAGTTAAGGTATTTTAGATTTTGGTTAATTTTAAATAAAATCAATAATTAATTATAACCTTATTTGGTTGTCTTTCATGATGTAATTAAAATTGTTTTGTTGATATCTTTTTAATTGTATCATGTGTATAAATACATATAGCCTCGGTATGTTCCCGGTAACCCTTTTTTTTTTCCTTCCATTTATTTCTCATACCATATCAGTTTATCTTCCCTCTTATTTCTTGGCTAATAAATCTTGAATCTTATATCTTGATCATTGGATCTTTATAAAATTTTATATTGATTTCTGTTTATTTTGATTTCACTCTTGATTTCTTGAATAAACAACCATTATTTCTAATAAAAATTATTAAAAAGTTATAGTATTTTATTTATATATTATTTTCTCAATATTTTTAACAAACTATGTTAAAAGGGTAAAATACCCTTGTATAGGGGTGGGGTAGCTAACCCAATCAACAAAAGTACTTAAATTTTCAATATTTCTTGAAGTATATGCATTTTTTAATTAATACTATAATAAAATAATTAATTTTCAAAATTTTGTCCATAAATAATTTAAAAATGCATTAACATAATTTAAAAGCAATCAACAATATAAAATAACATACAATAAAAATATATTGGTTAAGAATATAATTGTTGAAATATAACTATCATAGTATTTGAATTAAAAAAATTTAATTCAAATAATCAATTTAAAAAATAATAATAAAATATTCATGGCTTCCTACTTTTAAAAGCATGAGTATACAAGTCAACTAAAATTACTTTTTAGCTATCCTAACTAAAAATAAATAAAAACTTATGGACATAGATGCTTTAAGATTTTATAGTGCAAACTTAGAAAGTAAGAATCTTTTGATCCACGTACAAGATAAAAATAATTTAAGAAAGCTACTAATAAAATTGATAAAAAAAAATCAACTAAATAATAATTTAAACTAAGGAGCTGAAGTTATTGGATAAAAAACCTCATTCCTTTTATTATAAAAAATTGAGATTTTAAAGTATAAAAAAGAATGTCACAAAAACAATTAATTTTTAATAAGCCTTGAAAAGTTCAATGAATAAATAACCTCACCTCACATAAAATATTAATTTTGAATAATCCAAGTCTTCCCAGAAGATTTCTAAAAAAAATAAAAAAAATAATTTTAAATCAATTAAAAAAACAATGCATTTCCTATATGAGCTTTTAGGCTTTACTTTAAGACCTTCACAAACTCTAATTATTACAAAATTTAATCTTATATAAAAAACCTTTTAGAATATTTTAATAAAATTTTAGTCTTATCCAAGGACTGGATAAAAAATTATATTTATTAGCATAAAAATATATATTAAAAAAAAAACTAAAAACCACTTCTAATGCCCTTGAATAATAATGATTATTTATGCATAAAAAATTCTTTCAAAATAAAGATTATTATCTAGTTAATCTTCTTTAAAAGTAAATAATCCTTGTAAAATAAGAATTTCATATGTAATTAAATTATTTCTCTATAAGAATGCAAAAATCATATGAAAAAAGATTTTTTTTTACTTTTCTTGTTTGCTGGCAGATTTCATCATTATTTTTTATTTTAATAAGTTACTGGATCTACTATATATAAATATAAAACTTAAGATGTATAATTTGTAAATCTACTAAGATTACAATAAAATTTCACATGTGGTTTTAGATATGACAAAAAAATACACAAATATCTATTTTAATAAATTTATAACTTTTTAATCCAATCATCTTGACTTAACTCATTAAATTAAATTTTTATTTTTTTTTTAATTTTAGAACTTGTAATAGATTCAATTGATACATCTAATTGACTATTTAGTGATATTTATTAATTTTCATCATTTTTTATTGAATTATACAGGGCTTATCAATAATTAACTATCTTGATGATGCTTTTTTTTTTTTTTTTATATTTCCAGTTATTGATTCTCTATAATTAAAGGATATCATTTTTGTTTCAGTAACTTTGATTCTTTAATTTAAAACTTTAAGTAATTATTGGATTGAGTCCTTTATCAATTTAATTTTAATTTTCTTGACTTGTTTCTATCAGTCCGCGGTTCAAGTATTATTTCTTCGCATCCCTCTCTCCATCTTCCCAAATGTTTTTGCTGTGGTCATGCTAAGGCCAGTAATGTTCACTCAATTTCCTGAAAGGATAGTATTGCAAGATTTATAATAGTTAAGGTGTAACATTGTTGAGATTATAATTATCAAGGACTAAGATTCAATCAGTAACAAGAATAGTTGCTTAAAGTATTAAACCCTAAACCTCAAAAAATCCCAGAAGCCCAAATGTTGATATCCCCCCTCTGCCTGTAAATTGTAGCAACATCAAAATGGCAACAGCCACTAAAATCCTATTTTCCCAGCAGGGTAGCCGCCGGTGCTTGTGGTTGCCCGGCTCCTATTTCCGTAGATATTTGTGCTCTGAACCAAAACAACACCCAGATCCCTTAATAATCGAACCAGTCTCTTACCCAGTAAGATCCGAACATGAAAGCCAAGAAAATTCCCAAGAACAAGAACAACAGCAGCAACAACCTCCCAGAAGAAGAAGTCAGCAAGAACAAGATTGGAGTCGGGAGGACTTCCGTTACATGAAGGACGCTCCTCCATCCATTTCAATAACTCCAGTGTCGTACGCACCACGGGTTGCGCCGCTGCCGGAGGACAGGGTTCAAGGACAGGACGCACATAATGTTGATATGGAGAGAGAAAGGATGAGGATTGAGGCGCGGAGGAATCTGGGGAGAAGAGCTTTTAAGGTTGTGGAAGAGGAAGGGAAAGTGGTGCTGCCTTTTCCTAGATTAATCAAGCCTGTTAAGAAGGAAAAGAAGCCTCTTTTTGACTTGAATGAGGCTATTAAGCAAGTCAAGGTCCTTTTTCTCATCATTTTCGTAGATAATAATTTATTTACTAAGAGTTGCTAATTCGTGTAGTAAATTGTTGTTCAGGCTAATGCCAGGAATACTTTTGATGAGACTGTTGAAGCACATGTAAAATTGAGTATAGATAAATCTCGATCTGACCTGGTATGTTATATCATTTCTTCTTGTGTTTTCTTCTTTCTTTGCAATGGATTTCAATGTCTTTTCTTATACACATTTCAGATAGTTCGTGGCACCTTGGCTTTGCCTCACGGTGGTAAGAAGGTAGTTTCTTTTTCTTAAACTTATTCTGGACATTGGTCTCTGTTCACTTTAGTTTTCTGATCATACCTCACAACTTTTGCAATTGTTCAGTCTCTCAGGGTGGCTGTCTTTGCTGAAGGTGCAGATGCAGATGAAGCAAGAGCCGCGGGAGCTGATATTGTTGGAGGTGTTGAACTTATTGATGAAATTGCAAGTAAGAGGACAATCCTGTTATTTCTATATGGTGCATTTTTTAGTGTTAATGATAAGAACAACTGAGAATTTTTGCGGCTATAATGCCATCTCTACTATGCCAAATTTGAGAGGGTTAGAAAGTTTCCGTGTCTAAGTTTCTTCTAGCTTGTCCCTTTTGGGTCTTTTCTTCCAGTTCGACTGGTTTCTATTTCTTATGTTTCATTGAATACTGTTATTCCTTTTGTACAAAACCAAGATGGAACCATTTCACCTTTGTCTCTCCCTCTCTCTATACTGAATCTCAATTCGAGATAAGTTTTCTGACTAACTAAATCTTGGAATTTACACAATGCAGAAGCTGGCAAGATTGACTTTGATCATTGTTTCACGACTCCACAATTTTTCCCTCGCATTGCTAAGGTCTTTACATCTGAATTGTTCTTGCAAATTATTTGATTGGTCATAATTATGGCTTGTTTGTTTAAATAATCTTTTCCCTATTCACCAGCTGGGGAAGATTCTTAATCGTCAAGGTTTGATGCCTGATCTTAAAGTGAGTTTATCATCTTTCAAGTATCAATTAATGCAACTATCATTTATTAATGATCACTGATTTGTGCCATTCTCTTATAAACTTCAAATAATTTCTATTGTAGCATGGTACTGTTGTCAGTGATGTTGCTAAAGCAGTAAAGAATGCAAAAAAGAATCAAATTAAGTTTAAAATGGACAAAACAGCAATTGTGCATGTGGGACTTGGAAAGGTACGCTTATCTTGCTCCAAGACAACTTCATTTTAAAGGTATGTTCTCAAAACTGAGTTTGGGAACCTTTTTCCCTTTTGATGTTGTTACAATGCCATTCTGCAGGTGAGTTTTACAGAAGAGTCTTTGCGCGAGAATGTAGGTGCATTTATGAATGCTCTTCTGCAAGCAAAGCCCGCTGGCTTAAAGAAGAGTAAGCAGCATTTGTTCTATTGTTGCGTGTCTTTTTTTGTTTGTGGGGTAACATGATCTTGGGTGCATTATGAAATTAGGTGAATGCTCAATGGAAATATGATACATTATCATTTTAGCCCAGAAAATTCAGGATCTTGAAATTATAGGGAAGAGGTGAAGGCAGTTTTTGCAAAGCTGTAATCAACCATTCTGTAGCTGGTCTTTGCCAGCTAGATGAGTTTTTTCCTCAAGCAACCCTAGTTTCCCAAACATAGTAATCCCGTTCCTCTAGGAGAATTAGTTTCTTAATGAATAACACTTACATTTCTTAGGAGGGTGCTAAAATGATTGCAACAGTTATTTGACAGCAACATTCCCCTGTTTTTGTCTGCTCTTCTTTGTGTAAATAAAGAATGGTTAAGGTGCTGCCTGTTGCCTGTGGCCAATACCTTTTTAAGTATTTTAACAAAAATATTTTATCTACTTTCTCACAGCTTCCAAATATGCTGGATACGTCAACTCCTTCCATATTTGCAGCACTGTAAGCGTTAAAACCCTTTTCTCCTTTTCTAAGTTACTTTGGAGTACTTCTTGATTGATTTTGGACATGTGTGTATGTGATCTTTGTAGATTTGAACATTAATTGTTTTTGGAACTTTAGATTTATTCCAACTGCCTGTGTTCATGAATTATTGTTTCGTAACTCTAGTTCTGAAGTCTGGAATGAAGAGAAAGTTAATCTTTCACATCAGATGTTTTGAAAAAAGCAGCTTAATTGGCACTTGCTTTTTATTGCACTAGACTAGAACATTGTATCTGTTCTCAAGGTTGCGGTTTTATTTGTTATTAGCATGTTCAATATAGGGGAAAGATGGGGGCCTGGAGGGGTATACTCTTGTGTACAGATCAGAATTGTTTTTTGAAGCCGGACATCTTTTAGTTTGTGTCTCACAAATGTTTGAATGAATTTGTGAGCTATGGTTTTGGTTATGGGAACTAGGGTTGTTTAGAGGCCTGATTATGAAGAATGTGTGTTATTGTAGCTGTGAGTAGGAACATGAGGTTACCACAGCAAGAGAGAAATAGGAGGAAAAGCAAGAGCAAAGTTTCACTTGGGAAAAATAAAAGAGGGAATAATCTAGGCTGCATCTCTCAAACTAAACCAAAATACTCATAATTTCCCATTTTATTACTACATGGAATAGGCGGTGCTTTTACAGTTAACCCCTAGAAATTCTAAACTAATAGGAACTAGCAATCCAAATAGGAAAAGGAAAACTCAAATAATAAAAGACTTCTAATTGATATTCCAAATTCCTAACATACTATAATTTTTGAACAGTAGTAAGACTTCTAATCCAAAGCAAGAAGAATTCTTAAATTAGCCAAGTTTATGAGAAAAACTAGGATACTCGGAATTAAAACTCTAATGTAGTAATTTAGAAACTTATTTGTCTTGGGATGCATCAGCTATTGGTGTAAAGAATAATGTTCTAAAGATCCCTTTCCCAGATATACATATTTAGCACATTCATGTCTTGAGATTTAGCACATTCATGTCTTGTGAAATGAGAATCTTGTTTTTGTGCTTCTTAGACCAGCATCCTTCATTAAAGTTTTTACTTAAAAAAAGGCTTAGGCTAGTGCATAAGGAATGTAATTGGAGGGCTTTTAAGTGGATTACCTCTCTAAATTGCTTTTGGTGTAGAGCAATAATTGTCAGAACCATCTCAACCTAATAGCTTAAGCTGTTAGGTGAGATTTTAGGATATGATTTATATTATTCTTTAACATACACCCTCAAGTGAAAGCCCTTTGAGCTTGAAACTTTCATAGGCTCATTTCACCTTGTGCTTTAGTTTTTATTAAATAAATGGGGATGGTGATATTCGAACTCGTGACCACATGGTCATTAAGGCTCTAATACTATATCAAAGAATCATCTTAATCCAATTGCTTAAGTTGTTAGGTGAGGTTCCAGGATATGATTTATATTATTTTCTAACAATAATAACACACACTAGCATCAGGTAAAAATACTCCCTTTGATAAGCAAAGAGTATCCTCTCCTTTATATTGTGTCCTAAAATATATGTTTATTATCAAAATTTCAAAGTATTAAATCTCCTTTCTCATTTGCCTTGTTGAAAACTAAATGTCTAACACTTTTGTCTCCTAACTATTTGTAATTTCTGAGTGACAATGTTGAGGTTTTTCTAGAAATCCTAAGCTTTATTCTATTGTTCAAGTTTCAATTTTCTTCTGGTTTTAGCCTATATACCTACAATTATTTGCCTGTAGTATTGTTTTCTCTCTCCACACTACATCAAAAATGTAAATATTCCTTGTGATTCACACATATATGATCGAATCATAATATTGTGTTCTTAGTGTTTTTAGTAGTGTGGTTGGATATGTAAAGTAAAACCCAAATAATGAGAAGTGCAAGCTTTTTATGCTAAAGTATCAAATTGAAGCTTTGCTCAAAAACACCTTAGTGATGAGTTTATAAATACGATAGGAGATAAATCTATTGTTAAATAGTGAACTAGGCTCGGGCAGTTATTGATGATGAAGATCATACTGAGGCCACGAGCATGACTCCAAAGCATAAAGTAATAAGATTTGTACTTTTCATAGTTCGGACCTTTCATAGAACCAACCGCTTGACCATGTATTTTTATTGCATTGTAACTTGTTTGTGTATTTTTCTTGTTATACCAATAACCAAAGTGGTAAAATTTTTCACATTGATCACAACAACGTCAATAAGTTCATGGTGAAACTAAACGTCTTTGTTTTTTACAGCTTGCTTCGATTAGACAAATCTTGTTCCAGCATCCTCCTATCCTGACAACTAGTTTGATTTTATTTGTGTTGTGATAGATATTTCGTCATCATTTTCTCTCTCTTTATCCTAGGAACTAGCTGATTTGTCATGACTAGATGATTCTGCTCACATTCTTCCCTTTGATGGATTCTTTTCTGACGAATTCCAATTGGGATTTGATACTAGCGCCATTTATCTGAGTAGACTGTTCTAACTACTGGCTTGGTCATTGCACTTGGAGCTTATTTAGATGCTTTTGAAATCAGTGAATTTTCTTAGCACTCCACAATGCAGTTAAGTTTTCAAGTTGCTGGCAATATCCACGTGAGGGGATAAGAAGAAGAGGTCCATGGGGATCTAGAGTCTTCTTATTATTATACGACCAATGTGGAATGCAAGTCAGGAAAAACAAGGCAGTGGGCCTGTGCAGCTCTTGTACCGTTTATAAGCTATGGGCCCCAACATCCAAAATACGTTTTGCTTCTGGGATTATTTGGCGTAAATGATATATTAGATAGCTTCCAGTGTGCTATCAGTTTCTAATACGGGTTGCAAGAATAATAATGTGCTTCAACTATATGATGAGTTTGTTTTTTATTAATAGTTGTGTATGTCTGCTTGCTTGCTCGCTCGCTTGTGTGTTTGGTGTTCCATTCCACTGTTTGATTTAAATATTCTGGATGTCTGAGTGATAGATACATGCACTGTCTGTGCATATTTAGCATTTAAAATAAATACAGCCATACGTGACACTGGTCTTTTCTTTTGGGCGTTTAGTTTTCTAACTAATTGAACCAATTTCCTTTGTTTCATGCAGATGGGGCAGGGATTCCCTGTTTCAATACAGTCATTATCCAAAGCTGTAGATTACTACAGCAAAGTGCATCTGAATTGATCTGGTCCCAACACAATTACAGCACTCAAACTTGTTAGTTTTTGTCAAGAAATTATTTGGTATAGAAAAGCTGATTTAGTTTCACATGCATTTCGTTCCAGAGGTTTTTTTTTAATCGAAATCATTTTGTTGGTAGGCATAATTTTGAGTTTTTACAAACCAAACAGTTTCATCCGAAGTGTTGCGCTTGATGGAATAACCGGGAAGTTTTGCCGATGACGGCCTGGAGTGAAATTGGCTGTGACGTTGGCTTTAGAATTGGTAATGGGAGAAAACATGGAGCAAGCTCTGGCGAGATTAAAAGATAGGCTGGTGGGTTTAATTTCGAGTCTTGAGTAATTTCTCAAATGGGTTCTGAAAACTGAATGCAATGAATGAATTAATTTAAGACTAAGTGTCTTGCCTTTTCTCTAAGCTTATCAATTTGTTTTTCAAATCTAGTTTTCATTTGTTTTTAAAATATCTTTGAAAATGTGGAGCAGAGGATTACAATTGCATAACATATAAAGCAAGGTCTCGATCTCTCAAGGGAGCAGAGTTTTTGGAAATAGCATGCTTAGCCCTAGGATAAATTTTAAATTTTGTTTTGTTAAAAATTAATTTATTTTATATTTTTAGATTGTTTTAATATATGTTTATATTAAGAATAATTTTTTAAAAATAAAAAATATGTATTGTTTTAATATATTTTTGAAAAAAGATATTTTAAAATGTAAATTTTATTATATTTTTCAAACACCCTTTTGTTCCTAAAAGTATGAATCTCATCATTAATAATTACAAAAATTAAAAAATTAAACTGGATAGATATGAATCTCATCATTAATAATTATTTTCTCACAAGTTAATGATGTATAATTTTTGTTCTTTTCATTAAATTAATCTTTTAAAATAAAAAAATTGTATTGTAGATTATAAACTCGGTAGGAAATGATTTTCAATGAGAATTGAGTTCATATTCATTGGTTATATTATTAATTATTAAGATCGAGCGTTGCTATTTTCCTATAACTGTTTTCACCTTTTCTATTTTTTTTAATTTTTTTTATCTTATCATGCCATTTTAAAAATGATTTTATGGTTGCTTTTCAAATAACTTTTCATATTAAAATATATTAATAATTTTTTTAATTTTTAAAAATTATTTTTAATATCAACATATTAAAATAATTTAAAAATACTAAAAATATCTTAATTTAAAGTAAATAAAAATATAAAATTAAATTGTTTTAAAACTACTTTTAAAATATAAAAATAAATAGGCTAAATGGTTGGTTAAAATGGATTGGGTGGCCTTGGAATTACTCTTTTAACCCGTTTATAGATTCAACTCCAGAAAATAAAGATTTTGTCCTGTGTTATTTTAGTGTTCTGAAATTTTTTAAAATTTTATTTTAATCCCCATATTTATTTTCTTACAAATAAGTGCTCTTCAGGAGCTCTTTTTTATTCTCGTACATTCATGTTAACTACAACTTAAATAAGAACTATGTCCCCGGGTGTCAGATGTCCATTTTAATTAAAATATTAGTTAACTTGGATCTACAATATATGGATCGATTGATATTATATGAGTTAAATATAGGTTTAACTTTATCAAATAATTTACTTTTAAATAAATTGATGGGTAAGATATATGTTAAGTGGAATAACATGACACTAGCAAGAGATGCGATCTGAACCTTCTTTTTCTAGTTCATCTGGATTATAGTTATAAAATATAGCCTGATTTATAATCTCATCCAAAGTTTAGACGGGAGATTGGAGGGTTAGAATGGGTTGATTTTTATTAAGTCAAAACCAATATTATTCTAATTATTTTTAAATAATATTAAAATAATAATGTTTTGATTTTCTTTTTTAAATCAAATTAGATGTTATATGAATTTTAACATAATCACTCATGTTTGATTGGGTCTATTTTTTACTCAGATCGACATAAAAACATAACTTGAGCTTAGGGTCACATATCACTAAATTAACACTAAATTAAGCTAGTGGATTAGAGGAGTTTTATAGCGATAATTCATAAGAGCTTTTTTTTTTATTATTATTGAACAAGGGAACGCCATCTTATGATTTAAAAAAACATTAAAAAAAATTAAACCCCAGCATTTTCAAAGAGATGAAAGGTTATTTTAGAAAAACAATTTTCTAAACTTGAAAGATATTGAAATACAAATGGTGTCCCTTATTTTTTATTTCTTGTAAATACATCAATTTAAACATAAATTAAAAATCACAATTACAAAAAATTATGCACACCAGTAAAATATCTATAATAGTTCAGGAAAAGATTTAATTTCGAAATCCGAGAAGATTGAAATGTTCATCCACCAGGCTCTAAAAGACTAAAAAAAAAAGAAAAAAAGAAAAAAGAATGAAAAAGGGATATGTACAGTGTAAAGTAATAGTCAGTAGTCGGTGTATTGTCCGCGCCACAGACAAGGCAATAGTTCTCTTTCCACAGGTAACACAGTAGAAAGAAAACGGCTCAAACTCCAAAGCTTTCCAAAGAAAGGACTCCACTCAATAAATTTCCCTCCCTCGTTTCAGTTTCTACTTCTAGGGTTAGGGTCTGGAAATGGAAACAGAGAATGATGAGTATGGAAGGCAAGAACGCATTGCTCTGGTTGCCATTGTGGTGGCGGCTTCACTGACAGTGGCTTCCCTGCTGGTTGCATTTAGTTATTATTGCTATATACGTAACAAGCTCTCCAAACGCCTTAAAAACCACAGCAGTAAGTCCCCTTTTGTTTTCTCTTCTGAAAACCAACTCTCGCTCTTTGTAAAATTTGCGGCCTCTGTTTGGCTGCTGGGAAATGAAAAGAATTAGAGAAGATTTTTTTTTGTCTTTTGATTTGTTAAAGAAATGCCGACATTGTTTTGATGCTTTTATGTATTTGTACTTGGCTCCCTAATTTATGCTTTCTGTTAGCATTGCTATTTATTTGTGTGAGGATCCATCTTATTTTCATAAGCATCCAGATTTTCCCATTCTGGGTTAATTTATTTATTGTAATAACATAAATGTACATTTGTGTTCATTCCATTTTCTTTCAAGGGGAAGGGTATGAGGACAAAGGTTGCTTTACAGATCTCGAAGTTGTTGCCGGGAAAGGCCTTAACGTTTTCACATTTAAGCAATTGCAGTCAGCTACTGGTGGTTTCAGCAAGTCAAATGTGGTTGGGTATGGTGGGTTTGGATTAGTGTATCGTGGAGTCCTTAGCGATGGAAGGAAAGTTGCAATTAAGTTAATGGATCAAGCAGGGAAGCAGGGGGAAGAGGAATTTAAAGTGGAGGTTTGATTTTGATATGTTTATTTTCTGCTATGTTCGCCACCAAGAAGTACGAGGGAGCGGGGTTTTTCTAGTCTGGTTGCGAGTCCCTTAGAAAAAAGAAAATGAATTTCATCCGAATAATTTTGCAGGGTCTGGTTTAGTTCATCCCTTTATTGTCTTTCACACAGAGGACATTTATCCACACACACACACACACAGAGGACATTTATACACACACACACACACACTCACAAACACAAGCCAAGGGAGGGAATATTTAGTAAAATCCACTTATTATTCCATCAAGTGCACATGTACACGCACAGAGAGCCTCAAGTTTCTTTTCTTTTTTCTTCCTTTTTTCACACACTTAGCTTAATTGATCTTTAATCTTCAGATTTTAGTAAATAGCTTATTCATTGGCTGTTGATTTTTATTTCTAGGTGGAATTGCTGAGCCGCCTGCATTCTCCTTATCTGCTGGCATTGCTTGGGTATTGTTCAGATGACAATCATAAAGTGCTGGTGTATGAGTTCATGCCAAATGGTGGTCTGCAAGAACATTTGCATCATATCACTAGTAAGTTGTCTTAGTTTCTATTTGTGGTTGTTTAAACTTTTCTTAAATGGATTATAGAAACGTTTGCTAGAGGTGAGGCATATAAAAGAAAGTTCTATCAGAAAAACAAGAAATAAAGACAACGCCAGCCAATAATTCTTGTTATATGCCACAAGGTTTTGGATTACAGCTTTTGAATTTTGATATATTTTATTGATCCCATCATCCACTTCCTGCCATTATTAGGAGAGCTTAAAGTAGAGAGTACGGTAGCAGAAAAAAGGCTAGCCTAAGTAAGTGTCTGACTTATATGATTAGTTCTATTGAAGAAAAGTGACTGCTTATAAGAACAAGATTCTTCTTCAGTATTATCTGGCGGCGACTCTGCAGTTGAGAGTTTTACATCTGATCTAATTTAGGTATGTCTTTATGCAGCAGGACTGTTAGTCACTTTAGGGCCACATTTGGGACCAAACCCTGACCAAAGGCTTCAAAAATATTTTAGTGACATGTTTTTTATGTCATGTGTACCATATAAATACTTTGAAATATCTACTATTATGCTACGAAAAGACAAAATATTCTCTATGTGTATGCAAATGTGAAAACATGTAATCTTATCTATAGTTCTTGAGCTAAATAAATTCCAATGTAAAAAGGCTTTAACTATATTTTTTATATAATTCTGTTCCCCTTGTTCTGCTAGCATTGGTTGACTACCATGCATATGCGAGCAATACTAAAACTTAAGAGCTATCTATCATCAAGGTACATGCACATTGTTTGGGACAAGTATGTCTTTGATTGCTCATATTCAACTTGGTCAATGGAGATCATCTATGAGCCTGGGCTTCACATTGGCTCTAGCAAAGCCCCTTCAAGCTCTCATAAGTGAATTCAAGCTGTCGGATTAGCTAGCATAGCTGATAAATTCACTTGATGTCGTAAGAAGCAACTAGAGATCGAATTCTGTTTACATCAATGATGAGGGGATGGAGGGAGGACAACTGCCCTTGTTTTGTAGGCTAAGGCCCATTAGATACCCCAATGACAAAAGAACATATTAAGATCAAATCAGGATCATCCACTGTGTTTGAATGATCAATGCCTCGCTTTCTTATTGTTCAAACTTCCTTAATGTGGGTGCAACATAAGGCTGATTTTTCTGGTAATGTCCGACTCACTCTTCTAGATTATATATAAAAGTGAAAGAAAAGGAACTTCAAACCAGCATAAAAAAAGTTCTGCTTGATAAACCTAAGAAGTTTCTGTTGTCTGAATTTCCTGTGAAAAGGCCTTCTGCTGAAGACTTACATACAGATTTTGTTGGTTGAACGTGCAGGTTCCAATACTGTTTCTGTAAGTTTGGACTGGGAAACACGTTTGAGAATTGCCCTCGAAGCTGCTAAGGGTTTGGAATATCTCCATGAGCATGTTAATCCTCCAGTGATTCATAGAGATTTTAAAAGCAGCAACATCCTCCTGGACAGAAATTTACATGCCAAAGTTTCTGATTTTGGGTTGGCCAAGCTTGGACCTGACAAAGCTGGTGGACATGTTTCTACTAGAGTGCTGGGCACCCAGGGATATA